ATATTTAAGATTCTGAGACTTTGAGCCCACATAAAGGTGCTCAAGATGATTTGCTTTCAAGAACATCTGCCGTTCTCTATTATCAACCGAATAAGGTGTATGTACATATGAGCCTCAGTATAAGGTTATTGCTCCATTTTAAACACGTAACGCTGGCCAATTTAATGAATAATATTTTGGCTGGGCTTTGCCTTTGATCACATCAACTTCCGACATCTCATTTCTTCTCTCTTTGATTTCCCTGCTCCGTTAAACTTCTTTCCGTTTTAGGAACCCAGTGTTATTACAAGTGCTCTCTCCTCGTTGTTGCATGTACTACGGATGAACTGCTGACTTTCTCCAGACTGCAAAACTTGAGCAAACAAAATTAATGGGTACAAGCGCATGTTTTCTTGATCCTCTTCAACAACTTTATGGTGTATGCCGACAGGTAAATAAATGAGACGAGGGATATTCTTTTGCTTTCTAAATCCAAATTGCATAAATTCTCCTTATTTAGTTTACCCGATGAAAAGGGATATTTTGTCGAATAAATACAACTACATAAATATGTCCTATTAATGATTCTTCGTTTTTTTCATGCCAAATATGTAGCTTTGCATGTTCAGTTTAATTGTACCTTCTGGTGTGATTTTGGTGTGATGCAAAAATGCATTATATGCCGCGTCATTTATACACGCATATAGCGTAAAGGTTTTCAACAGGATCAATGGCATTTGGTCATCGAAATCGCCTGTGGTCCATTTCCATATCAAATTGCAATCATTAGTCGATCAATCTATGATGATTGCATGCGATAGTTTGCAAAACTATGAATAATTCATGTCTCATCAGAACCCCACACACTTATCACACCATGCACATCGTTGCAAAAATTAAAATTCTGCCTCAAAACATCTCCAGGAGCAAACACCTGTATTTTTGCAAAGAATTTTGGCAAGTTATTTATTCATGTTCATGTTTGATAGAGACAATCATTTATCATCCCTCATTGTAGGTTGCATTAACTTTTTTGACGTTTTAACTGATTTGAATTGTTGCTTGAAAAATATTCATAAATTTTGTAATTTAGTAACAAGAACAACAGATAAAAGAGAAATGTTATTAATCACTCAAAACCAGTGACCAGTGCACATTGTTGTATTACCTTACACATGAGCAAACAATGGGCAGAAAAATAATTTAAGCCTAAAAAATATTTGTGGTGAGATTTTTCAATGTCAAATGTTAATTTTAAACCCACATTATTCAACCCTTCTCTTTCTGCTGAGAGTAAAAGTAATGAAATGGCGCTGTTATATGCCGATGGCGTTAAACACAAACCAAAGTCAAGTCAATTTACTCCAACTTTTCTCCTTCCTGATGTTGAGGTGACTTGCTCTTGAACCACTCACTTGATTCAGTTGCATCCATCCAATACCAATTGCATGAGATTATAATAAATCTTGCCCGATGAAGAGGAAAAAAAACTGAGACGGCAGCTGGCAAGCGAATAACTTATGAGCATTTTTTTCCGAGAAAAAGTAAACCTCAAACTCTTCAAGGTGAAGGTGTGTTATATATGTACGCACATATAGGTTCGTATACATAAGTCTACGAGGACTCTTGCAGGTGAAACTTTATCAAATTATATATATTACACGCATTGAATGTTAGTATTTAGTGTGTCCTAGACAATACACACATTGACCGTTCCGATGCATTATTGCATTCCGTCGTCGTCGTCAGAAATTCCCCTTCCGAGATGTCACGCTATAAATTTACATGAAGGTGACATCACAATGATATCTATGGCTGTAATAAATGTGGGCAGTATTTCTTCTCTAGAATAGTCGGAATTTAAAATAAAATCGGGGTGCATTTGGAATGTTGCTAAAAAATGATGCTAATTAAAAAATGTTTTTACATCAAAATAAAAATATTTTCAAAAGCGTTACATTTAGTGTTATATTGAATATTTGTGTGCACTGTTGAAAATCTCATCCTGAAGCTGAAGGGAATAAATAAATAGAAGGGTGAGTAAAAATGCTGCTAAAAAGGCTAGTCGTCAGAGAAGCATCTCGAGCAGTAAGTAGTGGATGTGGTGGGAGAAGTTGTTTTGTTCCTGGTGCTGGGATTGGGATCAAGTCAAGGGTTATTTTAATTTTTTTTTTACATCGGCGACTCGTCTTCCCAACCAGAACTCGGCATGATGAGCCTTATTATCATCCAAATGATTCCTGGCACAAAATCTCTCCTAATAACCACACGGACAGAGCTTCTGAGTCCAAGAAGCACAAAAACCTGTTCAAAAGGAGTTCGATGAAACTTTGGGAGCTTTATTATCACTATACCCATGTAAATAAGCTTTGCAGCTACAACATACACACATACGTACGTGCATGCATATCTAGAAGATATACTGCAGCAACACATCAATAGTTTCTGTGTGTGCAGTATAAACTTAATGGAAAGCCATTATTGAAGACGGTTCGGCTTAAGAGTTCTTGTAGCTTTTTTCTGGTAAATTATTGAAGGTTGTTCATGTGTAAAAGATTTTTCTGAATTTCTGTGTCAAAAATTGCAAAGTTGAATGGAAAAGTGAAGAATGGATGACATTAGGAGTGATGCAATAAATTTGTGCTGACAATAAATCACGTCATATTTTTAATCCTTTAGATGGAAATGTTTAGTTAATCTAGAATTGTAACTTATGAAATTATGTTTCTCTTTCCATGCTCACGTTGTATTTTGCCTTCGATCCCCCTTTAGCAGACGGAAAGCAATTGAAAAGGAACTTAAAATGCAGCCATATTATCAAATCTGTTGCCACCCGCACACAAAGAAACATCCGACAGACACAAGAAAATAAAACAAACCTTTTCAGTGTCTCATTATTATTTTTACCGCAGCAAGACTAACAAAAGTTCAGTTCAAACGCCATCAAAAATATGAAACTTGACTGGCTTGCTGCGTTTTTGACTCTTGCGTCAGATTGAGTTAAATTTCATCCTACAGTATCGCTGAGTGTAGGCATTGTAATTCATTGAAATTTGAATTTTTTTATTTTTAAATAATAATATTTAAAGATAGAGATGAAAATACATACATATTTGTAGGGCCAGCTTATGTCGTTAGTAGAGCCAAAATTTAAAAAGAGACGGAAAGCTTATTTGTCGTGAGGAATCCTCTCAACCAGATTTTTCTAAATTGAGAGATATTGACGCAACCAATTTGATGCAGTCCAACCCAACATATTATACATAAAATAAAACGAGGTGGACAATGACATGATTACCAGTCTGGTTATGCTGCACTTGTTGTTGTGACTGTGAACGTGTGTGGTGAATCGAAATGGGTAAACACCTTTTAAAAAATACATCAGATTTTTCCAAATAGGGAGGAAAGAATTTAAATCTCTTAATCTAAATTCTACGCAGAGCGTAGATACATGTACAAAAGTATGTATAGGTATATGTACCAGCAAACAAACTGGCTCCTAAACCAACTTATGTATCTCAAGTGTGCTCCCCATCTCCAAAATTTACTATGTTGATTGTACTTAACAATCGAGTGGCGTAAATTACAAAATCAGATTATTATGGAGGGGATGCTGGGTCTTGTCTGTGTAGTAAATATTATCGTGAATTGTTGCCACTACTGCACCTTCTTCAAATCCCAGTCATGCAGGTTTGAAAACGGGTTAAAGTTGAATTGAGCTGGGTGAGATGTTTATTATCTCATAATGCATCTAATAATAGCACTATCGTGATCAAGATATCACATAACTCATTCCGTCTGACTGAGAAAAGTAGATGTGTTTATACGGGATTATTATCCGTGCTGTGTAGGACGAGATCTGACATGAATTTGAAAGCATTATTTTACAATTCCCTGGAAGGGCATGTACTTCTAAGCAACTATTCTTCATAATGTGTCGGGGTTGTCTAATCACAGGCAATAACGATGATGATGATGATGATAATGATAACACAACCAACACCAACATTTATAGCAAAGGGGCACTTAATTCAGATGTGAAGTGATGTGATATAAAAATCGTTCTTATTTTAAAAATTAATTCGATTACGTTCATACTAAAATTTAAAAATACAGTTGGAGATTAGGTTCCTCGTAAATGTTCTAGCGTTTTTTAAGCAATTTCGTTCGAAGTGTTGCTAATTTGATGGACTTTAGAAAATAAATATTGATTCTTTCTAAAAATTGGGTAGACAGCTAGCACTTTATTTGTTAATTCTCTTCCGTGAAGATGATGCAGGAAGATGAAGGTCTCTGGCTGTCGTTTAATTTCCGAATTCGGTTTCCTACTCAGAATAATCCGTTTTCCCAGTGGATGGGGTTTGAAGTAGAATCCAATGAATCCATCTTTTTGGCCTAAAACTGTCAGAGGGTTTCCCTCACTCACTCGCACCCAGGTCTGTTGTCGAGTGGAAAAGAAGAGGTGGTTTGTTTGAGGTGAAAGTAAACAATTGCTTTGGTTTTCTCTTTGTCTTGTTGTTCAGTAGAAAAGTAAAGCTGAGCAACACCAACCTAACCACCGAGAAAATAGGAAACCCTCCTCGGATTTGCAACAAGTTGGCTAAACAGTTGGCTAAATCCCACTTTCATATTGCTCCGTTTTAGGAGGTACGTGGTTTGGTCGGGTTGATCTGAAATATGGAACTTACTGCTTATTACTTATCCAAGCATTGGCCTAAAGCCTTTCTACTTTCTTTGTTGTTTATCCTTCTTTGTTTACGCACTCAGTCAACTTTATGTGATGTTTTTTTAGAATTCAGTTTGTGGGAATCTGTAATAGCCTTAGTTCTGGAGACGGTATAACTAAATATAGAGAGAGAAAGTTGTTGGTTGGTTAATACAGATGTGTAGTTTATTCGATTTTCTCGTGGTTTCTTTTTGTGAATTACAGTCCCCTAACTGAATGCGTTTGTGCGGCCCATGATATACGCTTTAGAAAATACACCATTCGTAATAATAATAATATTTTTTTATTCTTCCAGATCTGAACCAAGTGGGCCTGTCGTACCCGATCAAACTCCTTCAACGAAGAAATTTACAAGTAATTCAATATTTCAATTTCCGCGAGCACAAAGTGCAAATTATGTCCTTTGTCTCGTCCCCTGTACAAATATAATTTTCCAAATCGCATAGTAGATACTGCTGAGTGCTGGCAAAAATCCAAAGACCTTTCGCATATGACATTGCCTTCAACCAGTCGACAGAAGGATATGACAGAAGGATACGATAAAATCGGTTCTATCCGGTTCCAAATTATCCGGGACATTCACTAAATGCACCATTTCCACATCCACCGCAAATTTTCAGCTTCCATTATAGCAAGCAAACCAGACTCGGTACCCATTCAAGTAATGCACTCTTACTTTTATGTGGCTCTTGCCTGTTCAAGTATGTGCGATAACGTTCCTCACCTTATCTACAAGAGCACTTGCCAAACCACAACAATGCGCAACTTGAGACAAATTCAGGTCTCTCTGAGCCACACCACTTAACATTACTAAACACTTACCATCATCGCCACTAAGAACTATGTACACTCACTCTCACTATATAAATACGAACCTACAGTATGTACATATGTATAAATATGTGCATTCGTCTCACCCATCGGTTTAATAGAAGTAGAATTGAAGACACATACAGTACATATCTGCATGTGTATAAGTAGTCTTTAAATTATTAAGTGTCATATTTCCTCGTCCAAAATTGTGAGAGGAAATCAATTTGTGCTTTAATGAGTACAACAACCGCAACAACGTTTATGACACGGTTGACAGTTCATGCATATGAGGAATATACTTAAGTAAACTACTATTCACAGGATTATTTAACTTTCTATGCCAATTTTTCCATACGAATTTTCATGATTCATAAATATGTGTACTGTCACACATTTGCTTTGTTAGACTACAAATATATCTACAGATTACAGATATTCTTAGCAGCCTTTTATTTTCCTTATAGTACAAAAATTACATGATACGGGAGTAGAGATTTTTATGAAATGTGATTAAATTTGATACAGTATCATTCATTTGAACAGTATAAAATCGAATTAGAGATCGCTAAAAGCTTGTAACAGAGGGACGACTAGAACCGTGGCTTCAACTTTCAGATCTAATCAAGGTCTTTTATGTCGATTGGCAAACTGCTAATATTTTTGCTAGGAAGGAATCCAAAAAGCGCAAAATCACATTGTAGCAAGTCGAAGTTGTGGAGCGAAAGGCTGAAAAAGTATTCAATTTAATAAAAGCCCATCGACAAGAGTGCCTTTTGTTAACCTTCATTAGTCTTCATATTCATCAGGAGATATGTAATTCCCATTGACGTGTTCGTCATCCCCGCCATAATCACCGTCACCACTCTTCACTCTAAATCAATTAGCAATGTCACTTTATTTTCACATTTGCGACTCGGAGAGAGTGCATTATGAAACGATAAATTTAAGGCCTTTCTAAAAGTCAGTTTTAGCTTTAGTGCTTGAAAATCTCTACGCCTCGCCGTGCTTATTTTGCTATATTTTTTTTAATTCGGTTTTTTTTTAATTTTTCAATGCAAACATAGTACGTATATCTTAACCATTTGTGGGTTCACCGTGAATTAACAGCTATTTTTATTTTATGGCATACACTGATTCTTATTTTAGTAAAGCTTCTACAAGACAAAAATCATTAACCATTTTTACTTGTCCCCAACTCCGACCGAAATGATAATAAGTGCTGCCGTTCCATTATTGACTTTTGCTTTTACACACTCAAAGTTGTGACGAGGTACTGAGTAAATGAATCTTTTAAATTAGTGGGAAAACCTCAATGTTAGTTAGCCCTTGCTCTTTTAACACTTACAGTTTATCTTAAGCCAGTGCGAGTGTCACGAATATTATGACTCGTCTGAGTCTTCGTTAGTTAGAACTTCTGAGAAAATTGAAAAGAAAAGTTGAGCAACGTTAAGCTGAAAATGAACCCCAATTTCCTACGAGGAATCATCCTAACTAGAGTCTCCTTTCAAAGGTTATGTATGTAGAGTATCAGCGTATGTAACTGCACCATATGCACTATGCGTTCAACGCACTTTCATACACATGTAACGGCACCCCTGGAGAACCTTTCAACTAATGAATGAATCCGTGCTGGTAGTAGTAGGTCGTATTGCACAGCGGAAATACATACCCGGTTGCTTTAGAGATACGCCTGAAAAAGATTTAAAAACGTCGGGTTCAGTTTAGTTGTCCTCGGATATTGAGACAGTGCGTCTCTTCGTTCGTTTGTCCTCTCTTTCGTTTTCCGTTTTGTTAAATCCTTGCGTGGAAAATGAAGATGTGTAAATAACGCGAAATATCAATAACGGTGCAGTTCCTGAATAAATGTGGTTACAGAAAAAAAACTAATTAAAAGTTGATTGGTGGAGTATACTTATTACATCACAGTAAGTTTATTGTTTGTAACATTGTACAGTATTTTTGTAGGATTGTTACGTTAGATAAAAGTGGTATTCAGCAAATAGTGAAACGCAGCGCACTTCATTATGTAACTCTGCAAAGTTTAAATGGAAAGTGAGGAAAGTGCCGGCGTGAGAATATATAGATTTTCATCATCTCGATTTCCTTTTCCATTGGATGCCAAGGACTTGTTTACCTTGCAACGCAACGCGATAACTGTAAGTTTTGAACAACAGCTCCATTATGTTATTTCTGTTTACGTAATTTCGGAAAATCAAATTACGGAAAGGAATAAAGGAATTTCAAGCGACGAACGTTGCAACGTATCATTTAAAATCTACAAAGTTAGCAAAGTTATTACGCAAGGAAGACGTGTGGGAGTATTCTTCCTGAATTCATGTATATTTGAAGCATCAAAGGTTCGTAAAAGTAAAACGTGATGGAGATAATTTACTTGAATGCTTTTGCCTTCTACTCTCGTCACCTTATTAACATCTAATCTAAACTTTACTTTCTCAAAGTTTGCCAGCAGCGGTGTCACAGCACACAGTCCATCAACTTTCCATTCCACCCATCTGTTGTCATTTCATCTGCTTGTCCCACGAATTGGGCACTCTTGTAGAGTCAATCCGTCTGGAAAGAGAGATAATAATCAGGTGAAATGGTAATTAGAACGGGGAGAGTGGGACTTGATAATTAAGTACAAAAGTTTGGGTAAACTTTCACCCAAATGACATTATCTCTCACTCACTACTACTTGTTTTTGTTCCACTCTTACCACGGCACTTATGCAGTCGCAGGTCTGTCGGCTATGCTAAAACTAAGAATGTGAACAATGGCAGTACAAAAGCTACATGTGTGTGTATACTATGCATACAGACGTACATATGTATAATGTTAGTTAGACTACTACATATAGGCACTTATGTTCATAGATATAGTCCAGTTATAGTCCAATTGTCGTTCAATGTTTTAAGCGAATTGAGCGGAAGCGCAACTATATTATTCATTTCCACGCCCCCTCCACGTCTGTACAATTCAGTTCGAAAAATTTGAAATTTCGAATGATCATGAATATGCTTGAATTGAAACCATTGACGCACGTTATAATTTTGTCTGATTCCTAGGTCTCGACTTTTTATGGGAAATAATAATAAGTTTCTCTATGAAATATGTAGTCAGATGAAATTTATTTTAAAAGCTACTCGTCATTTAAAAAAAAAGGCTGCAAAAGAAAATCACAGCCCGGTGTAATATCCCGTTGGGAAAAGATGCATACAGATAAATGCAGATACAAAATCTAGTTGGAAAATATGGCACATGTTGAAATAATTTATCATTTTTTGGATCCTGGACAAATGCCCTGCAATATTTCACTTTCTTATCTCCGCCTCTCTAATTTAAATACCTGGGTGAAAGTAGCAATATTGGTTAACTCGCTTGGGAGGGAGTAGAAGAAGTCGCCTCAATTTTACAGATTAACCAACATTTTTATGAGGTATAGAAAAACTAATTTATAAAGTAGGCCTGACGTGAGGCAAATAACGATGAGGATGCCAAAATGGAATGTGTAGATTTTAAGAGTTGCCTTCCAGTGGCTTTGCCAGTAAATCTTGAGTAATTGCATGTGCAGGGATTATAGAATTGAAATCATGAATAGTGGAAGAAATGTACCATGTCGTTGTTAATTGGTGACTCGATACTTCCACCATTGACTTTTTATCTCAGGGTCGTTACCACTGGAATAAAGATAATGGAGATGTTAGCTTTGGATCGGAGGTCATTTAAACAATAGTGCAGTTACGCAAATGGAATACGGAAGTTGGGACTTGCGAACATTCCATTACTGCACCGCACAACGGTTGAATTGTGACGCATAAAAGATTATAATTGCTGTGGCTGGAATTGGAGAGGATTTACATTTTGTTCTAAAATGTTACCAAAGAAAGATTCTCCTCAAACAACAAGAAATCAACCAATAGCAGCCCATCCGAAGATGAGACAGAGTCGGAGGGAAAGTAATTCGAATAAGCAAACCACAATTACATTGCACAATCCCAAATACGCCCATGTATTTGGGACATTAATGGGTCTCTCTCTACGACCTCGCACTATTTGATCCTTTATTAGCAGGGGTTGCATAATGTGATGATGAATTCAAACAACATGACATGAAAGCCCTTTTCCTCTCCTCTGATGTGGTAGTCAAAGATGGGAAAGAGTATTTATATCGAGTTAGGAAGACTGTTTTCTCAACTATTATTTACTTGAATTTGTATTTTACTCCGCTGTGAAGAACAAATACGGAATATATTTTTTTGGGGGTAAGTCAGCATAGCTCGGATGATAAATGTGAAATGGTAAGCAAGCGCCAAAAGCCAACAAAAGCGTATTGCTTGTAGAGTTCATAGGGAGATAATACCCGAGTAGCAAACTCGAGGATCTGCAGTTATTGCTAATGGGATATGTAAATTGTCAAGCTGAAGTCACCGTGGGGTTGTGGTATATTGGAGGGTTGGGTCTGTTTGTGCGACTATTATTGCTCTCGTAAATAAGGAGGAATGCCTCCATCACATACATGCAATATTATTATGCTCTTTTAG